CCATTTTTTAACCTTCTCAATTTTAAGGACAGGGCTCTTTCTGCAATGTCTACGGATGATGCCTTGGCATGGATTGATCTCACCTGAAAAAATGATTCTCGAAAGGACCGATCTCGAATTCAGTAAGCTAAATTTTACTGTGACCGTGATTATCTGAGCATATTCTGCCGTGTTCTGAGCTAAATGGGAGATTAATGGACTCCAATTTTTTGTAAGCTGATGTCTTAACGTTTTGAATTTTTCCCACTTTTTGTTTGGTTTCGTCTCGAAAGGACAAGACTCAATGTAGGGCCCTACAATTGCTCGAATAAAGCTATGTTTACAAGTGGTCTCCAATCCAATTTTTCAGCCTGGTTCCTACCCTCCGATGTGTCTAAAATCGCTAACGATCCTACTCTTCTGGCCTCATTGGCAAGTGAGGAAACGCTCATCGCTCGCGCTGGAGCGAATCCTCGCTGTTGAAGAATCTCATTTTGCTGAGGCGTTAGCTGATGTGATATTTACGGAGACCATCAATGGGTTTGTGGATCAGGTGAGTGTACTTCTGCTATGACTTTTCTTATTGCTTTATCTATCTGTGTTTCAACTGAATTTAGACACTACGCAAAGTTATGCAGTGTCATCAAGACCCACTGTCATTTTCGGTTCCCGGCGAGTGGTACGTGCAGGTGAATTGTTTCCACTCATATTAACTCCATATAAATGGGCTGTTCTTAAAAGTAATTATGCTCAAGGTTCTGAGATTGCTGCTTACGCCGAAAGGACCGGAAATGGAAAAGCTCGCCATCCACACGTTGCTGTTGGCTTCGATCCAGAGACTAGGTTAACATCGTAATTGTTTCGTTTGCAAAGTGGAATCCCACTCATATTCATTCATGCTCTCATTCATACATTTTAGTGGAGGTCGATGGGTCGGTGTGGTTGAGGTGGATGCACGGACAAGCTAGTACTGCTCATTTAGAGACGAGCGATCTCTTCAAGGAAACAGCCATCAGTTTGGTTCTCCGTTGCCCTGATCGAGGCGTTCGGTTTGTCATCGTCTATTTTCCCTTCTAATCAAAAATGCGCATTTTTG